AAGCAGAAACCTGTTTGACAGATTGTTTCCCTTTCCCATCTATTTTTCTTAAACTATTCCTATAGTCTAGCAAGTAAACAATTAATCAGAGAACTGATTCGATAATGCCCTTTGAAAGTGACTCAGATACTTCTAAAGCAGATTCCTAAAGCTACCAGATCTACTGTGTAGCCAGTACACACCAGGCAAAGTTCCCATAGAACTTGTTTGGAAGCATGTCCCTAAGACCGTATCTACATGAAGAGGTCAGAGGGACCCAGAGAGTCCCCAGAGCCAAAAGCTCCCTGGAAATTAGTTTGTACAGAAGTTTCAGCTTTCCCTAAAGAGCCAATGTAGGAATTCCAGGTTTGACCCTCTGGGGACTCTGTATTAAAATGAAAATTTGACCTCAGAAGGTAGTTTTTATCCCATTCATGTCTATTTGTTAGTATTTTTAGCCCAAATTAGGGTTTTTCAAAATAGCTAGATGGCTGAGAGCAGCACTTAAATAGAAACAAATCAGATTCACTAAGGTGGGCTCAGCCTAAGCTTTATTAAGTGATTGTGATACAGTTAATTGTGATACAATTAAGTGATTGTGATACAAACCCCAGCACTTTGGGCACCAAGCATTTGCAAGAGTCCCTGTACGGCGTGCGCACATCCCCTCGAGACAAAATGGCTGACTGGAGAGTAGCTCTGCCAAGCGGGAATATAATGCAAGCCACTCAGATAATCTTAAATTTAACGGCCACATATAATAAATAAATAAATAAATAAATAAAATGGGATCTAAAAGTTGACATTAAATTTAATGAGAGATTTTTTAAACTTGATATACCCACTATGTCATTGCTTCAATATATAACCAATATAAAAATTATCAGTAAGACATTTTCCTTTTGAAATCCAGGGTGTATTTTAAACTTAGAGCCTGTTCCAGTTTGGACCAGCCACATCTCAAGTGGTCAGTAGCTGCCTATGGCATAAATTATCCATTTTAATGGCCACCACAGCTCTGGGAGCCTTGAATTGGAAACTAGTTCTCAGATTGCAAAGGCTGGTGAAAATGACCACAGGATGGACAGCGGGGACAAACGAAAGTTGGGATCATCCTCACTTCTTTTATACTCAATTATATAAGTGTCACATGTTAGCTGAAGGTCAGTGTTAACCCAACTGCAGAAAAACTACAGAAAAAGAGGAGCTGGGTTCAGGTACTGACCCTAACACAATTGGGTGCCCTCGGGCAAGTTACGCAAAACCTTCAGTTTCTTCACTTGGAAAATGGGAATAGGTCTAAAGCCTCAGGCTCAAAGGGTTGTTGTGGAGATTAAGTAAATAATGCATATTAACTCCATAAATGCTCAAGAAATGCTTGATATGTCATCACTGTTGCTGTTATTAACTATTTTTACAAATCAAAATTGCTTAAAGATGAACTGTAAAGGTAGTCTTTTTTTATTTCTGCAAAAGAGGAGGAAAATGATTGTAAGATTGATAGACTGTCTTTTTAAAGAGTAGGTTTAACCAGCTTCTTAAATTGGGCACTGTTCCTCATGTAAATCATCTATGCACCAAGAAATCTGAAAGATGCTATGTTACCTTCAGAACATTTTTGGTTTTGTGTTTAACCAGAAATTATTATGTTTAAGTATTCCACAGGGAAGCTTCTAGAGAAGACTACCCTAAAATGCCACTCTTGAGGGTACTGGGTGAGGCAATGAAAGAAAAGAGTTTTTCTTTCTCTTCTTGTCCTCATTTATCTTCTCCTTTTATTTAAAGTCAGCAGAAAGAACTAATTAAGGCAAAGCTAAAGGAAATGAATTCAAAGTTTGCACTGCACATGTGAACTAATCTTTCCACAATGACATATTTGAAAGGCCAAATAAGGCGCTCCTTCATATTGTACTCCAGCAAGGGGACAGAAGAAATTGCACACACTATTGGGTGTACAGTTTGACTCACTACTGACTTGCTTAGAAGCCATTGCCATTCCAAAACACAGTGTAATAGTTATCACCTATGGGAGGATGATGGAAAATCACAACACGTGTCAGTGCTTGCTATACCAAACATACCTTTCATGGGGATTTTGTTCAGAATGAAAGATGTAGTGAAAATTTTAAGATGCAAATAAGTGGTGAATAAATAAATATGGGATGTACTTACACATTCATGCACTGAAGCTGGGAGGCTTTGAGCCATGAGAGCAAAGAAATGTACTCAACCATCAATTTAGTAGGTCATTTTGAATGTAGGCAGCAAAATGGCCATGTGCATAAAAAACCACTACTATATTTTGAGAGATCCTTTCTAAGAATCCTGAAATATTAATAACATGGTCTTAATGTAGTTGAAGACAAAGGAATGTGTTAGGGGCAGCGAGGTTGCCGAGAATAGCACAATGACAATTTTGTACTTTGGCTTGTGCTGGTAAAAGCTGGAGAAAAAAAGAGTTTTAAAAATAGTCTGGGTGTTTAAAGAAGGGCAGCCTTCAGTTTTCAAAATCGGTGTAAAACTCCATATTTCCCAGGTGAATTCACATGTACTTATTCTTGCTAACACATTCATGCAAGCTTCAAGGACACAGAGAAAAAGTATAAAGTTGTGATCTCATTTTTTTTCCTTAAATTAACATAAACATACAACTAATTTTTGAACTTCAAACAATTCAAGGCATCCTGTAATTTGACTTTGTGAACGATGAACTTGATTTTTTTTAACTGAAAGTAGTCTGACCAGCATAGAAGTTGAGGAAATAGTAATTCTCTGTTTTTCTCTTCCTTGCAACTTTTTGAATTGGCTCTCTTTTCACATGGCAATGACTCCATCACAGGCCAGTTTTTCTTGTCAGTCTTCCCACTTCCATTGTGAGATGTTAGATTTTGATGCCTGGTGGAAGGGAGGTACATAAGGATCATCAGGAATGTGGAGAGATTCATCCAATATCCAGATGTGGAAAAATAAAAACGACTTAGGTCTTCTCGGCAGTCCTAGCACCACCCAACTTAACACCGGGTTTCTACAACTTGCCTTTGTTGGCTGTTACTGAGTGGCAAGACAGGTCCCAGTGGGTTTGTTTCTGAGTTCAGGGACCCATCGTGTTTGATGTGGGAAGGACAAGCTTGACCCTTGGTGCATCTTCCTCCCAAAGCTGGCGTTGCTGAGTTTAATCAAAACCCTAGGGCCATCTTGAGCATGACCAAAGAGCACCTTGCATATTGAACCATACCTAATTACGTGATGTGTATAAACTCGAGACACATAAATCTCAGTCATTGGAGCAACTTGTTTTTCTAAGATTCTCCGGTCCAGTGAAAGACGAAGGCAAATAAGGCAGAGATTGATCTCCCAGCGCTTTTTATTGTTGGTGCTCCACACATCATAAAGTTTTGGCTCGTTAAAGGAAATTCCATAAACAACTTTAGTTAATCATAATGAAGTAACTGTGTGCCTTTCTAGAGCTTCTGCTCAGCTCCCTTTCCGCTTGCCATCACAAGAGCATGATTAAGAAAATACCAACAGGATGTGCAAGAGGGAGGAACAGACTTGTGCTGGAAGCCGTACAGACGCTTGACGGATGAGTCATGAGAGGAGCCAATGTGGCTGTATCTCCTCAGAGAATCAAGCACTTTCATGGGGCCCCCTTTTTTTTTTTATCTACTCATTTGAAAAATCTGCTGGGTTGCTGGCATGGTGGGTCTCCTCTGGTGGTCAGGCTGATGGAAAATGCCTGATGGGTCCTTCTCCCGGCTGGCATTTTTGATAGTTGAGGAACATATTAAGGATGAGATACATGGAGAAAATTGAAAGTGAATCGTACTGAAAAGATTGTGGGTAACTGTCACCTTTTTTTTTTTTTTAAACCTCTGTTCTTATGAAAAAACTTGATTTTGATTGGCTTTGTCACTGTGGGTTTAATACTGATGGTGTTGGTCAACTTTTATTTCAGGTTGAGACAGATTTGGGAGGTGATGGTGAAGGGCATAGGGGAGAAAAAGGAGCAAGCAAGGCCCTATTAATAATTTTTTATTGTGAGGTTTCACAGAATTATTGAGATTTTCCACATTAGTAAAAGCAGTTTTTGGTGTCAGTGTGATGTTTTCAAAGATGAAGTCATGGAAAGCATGTCAGGTGCATAAAGAACTATATGGCCCATGTTCTCTGTAGCAGCCACTTAGGGTGTGCGTGCATGGGGAACAAGGTAGGTGTTGAAAAAATGGAGAGAGGGAGAAACAGGAGGGTTTCGTTAATTGGAAAATCAACATAAAATATCTGCTGATCTTAAAAAAAAAAAAAACTTAGCATATTATATTCCACAATCCGTGGTTAAGAGTTTATATTACTCTACCTTGAAATTATGACCATGTCTCACCAACTCCTTTTTTTTAATGCTTGGTTGCCTTTGTTGGTCTTTTGCTTTGGTTCCCTCTGTACCTGAAATAAGGAAATAATCAGCAATAATATTTTGTTAGAGCTTGGATACACTTCAACTGTTGGTTCAAGACCAGGCTCTCAGATTCCACAGCATGTAGCCAAGAGTATAGGCTTTAGGGGCAGAAGGCTTGGCTCAAAGCTGGTCCCTGACATTTACCTGATGCATGGTCCGGTATCAGGAATGTCCTGTTCAAAGCTGGTCTTCCTCATTTCTAACGTAGAGCTAATTACAGTGCCTGTGCAAAAGGTGCTGTAGGGATGGGACAGTATCGTGCATATAAGCAGCATACCTGCACCTAGGAAGGACTCCGTAAACTTAACTGTGATTTTATTCATGCCACTGGCTTTAAGAACATTTCCTCCATAGGGCTCCTTGCCACCTGACCAGGAACGTAATGATTTAAAGAGTGATTATAATTAATTAACTAATGTTTTTGGTCGCTTTACCTGCCTCTGAAGCCAGGTGATCGCTGGCAGTCAACAGAAATGTCTCCCTTCTTCTGAATCAAGGAGATGACGTTTTGCATTCCTTTGTTAGCAGTGGTTTTATTGTTTTGGTTTTTTCTCCTTCTTTTCCGTAGCCTGCAAAATCGGATATTACAAGGCCCTCTCCACGGATGCTACCTGTGCCAAGTGCCCACCCCACAGCTACTCAGTCTGGGAAGGAGCCACGTCGTGCACCTGCGACCGAGGCTTTTTCAGAGCCGACAATGATGCAGCCTCTATGCCCTGCACGCGTAAGTTCTTCCATCCTGTTTCTTTGATGCCAGCAGCTTGCGTTACCACCTAGCAGGGCACTGCCAAGCCTTCTCCCATGATAACCATGTAAGGGGCAGATTAAATCAACTATGAATCTTTTCTTAATCAAAGCAGGGGAGATGCTTATGAGAACAAGGGTCTTTCTCACCGTTCTGGTTGCCTTTGAAACTCACAGCTGCCCATAGACTGCTTTGTGGAGGAGAGACATTCAGGGGTTGTAATCTGACAGTGTAATTAGAGCTGAGACTGAAATTTCCAAAAGGCTTTATCGTTTCCTCCAGCAGTCTCTGGAGGCCTGACAGCTGCAGGGGAAACAGGTACAGGGCAGGATTCCGAGGACGGGATGACGTGTGGGCTGTGGTTTCAGTTCTGGGCACTGACATCATGGCTTGTGTTGTCCTTACCCTTCTTCCTTCAGCCCCATAGTTTTGTGTTCATAACATTTAGGACTGGATCCTAATAAATGCCTGTTTAATGATAGGCACTCAGTAAGTGCTGGACTAATGAATGGATGGGGAGGGCACCTTGGTATGCAGAAGAGCAAGGAAATCCATTCTCATACTTTCTGTGGACAGTGCTCCTAGTGTTGCCATTTCTTTCACGTGCACTGTGGGCTTCACAGACCCTGCCGTGGCTGTGACCTTGGCAAGAACAGGGAGTCGCGGGTCCAGGTGTTCCACCCATGGTGTTCCTGTTGGGTAAGTCAGTGTATGGAGAGATGAAGCTGAGGGCCAGGCACACAGGATTCCCATAGGTTTGGGCTTTGTTTTCCAGCCCACCCAGAAATTTCAGCCTCCTGTTTCCCCATCTGTAGAACGGAATTAATAACAGTACCTCCACCATTGGTATTTAACAACCCTCATGTTGGTTACATAGTAAAAAAAATGCATAAAGTGATGTTACTCAATATATTTTAGCTTTTACTGTGCTTATGACTGTTACTGTTTTGTTCCCTGTTATAAATTCCATCTCGGCCAGCCTGGAGCCAACATCCCTCCAAATAGAAGTATTTTCTGGTTTGGGGGTACTTGGCCCAGCTCTGAGGCCATTGTCTTAACTCAGTCAAGTATCATCTTTAAAGGGAGTGGGAAGAGATTTCAGACCCATCCCAGTTGTGCTGAGTGAGGTTGACATACCCTCCAGAGTTCCTTTTTTTTTTTTTTTTTTTTTAAGATTTTATTAATTTATTTGAGAGAGTGAGACAGAGATAGCAAGAGGAGAGTGCTCAAGTGGGGAGGAGAGGGAGAAGCAGGCTCCCCCCAGGAGCATGATTTCAGGCAGATGCTTAACCAACTTAGCCCCCCAGGTGTCTCCAAAGTTTCTTTTCTAGCCAGAGATGACGACAGCAGCAGCAATAAGAAACATTTTATAATCATGCCCAGGTAACATATCAGGCGCTTTCAGGAAACCTTATCACAGGGCTCATATTATAACAAATCTGTAAAATAGACATTATCTTCGTTTTATAGACGAGGTAACTGCCAGCTCAGAGATAGTAGGGAACACACCCTAGGCTCCACGCCAGCTTGGTGATAGAGCTGCATGACTCCTGTAGTTCTGATCACTGGCAGGCTCTCTTGCCCACTCCCCCAGATTGAACACAAACTTCCTCCAGAGGGAAGGAGTTGGCTAGGGTCAGCCCAGAATCCTGGGCATGGATTTTTCTCATTTCCTTTTTCTGTCGCTTCCCTAGACTAAGTACTTTCTTGGGATAGCCATGGACGTTTGACCAGCTCAAGTCCCAGACTTTTTCTTTTCTGAGTATCCCCATCCTGTGTTTCACGATGTGTGATGATGGTGATGGTCACCTCTCCTGTGTCCACACCGGATGTCAGCAGTTGCCCAGGTGTGGGATTTTAGGACACGGTAGCAGACTCAAAGGACAGTGTTGGGGGCAGACAGTGTGATGGAGAGTGTGATGATCTTTAACTTGGAACATGCAGTCTACCACCTACTGTTCATACAGATAGAGCCTTCCCCAGGTTGAGGCTTGACTGTGTTACGATCTTTATAAAACGCATCTTTGATGGAGAGATGGCCCGGGTCTTGTTCCCAGGTATTTTTAGGCTCATGATTCTGATCTGTCATGCAGCCTTCCAGGACCACGGGCCAGTCACTTAACTCTTGTAGCTTTGCTGTGTGGAAGTTTCCGGGGACCACAAATTCACCTGCCTAAATTACTGGAATGCTGTGCCATGTGTGTCTAAGTGTGGTCGCTGAGCCCTTGGCATTCTTACATTTGTGTGGGAGTAAGTTGTTGGCTTTATCGTGAGGATACAAATGAGAAAAGGAAAATACGGATTTCAGCAATCGGGGGCGCCCAAAGGTTTAAGAACTGAAGTAACTTGTGCAGTTTTCACAGATTGCTTTCAGCGACGTCTAAAGAGGAAGACGGGGGCTCTTTGGGTCATTGATAAGAGCTCCACGAAAATACCAGAGCAGTATGTGATCCTTCTTTCTCCTGCTCCATCCTCTTGGAACTCTGCCTACAGGTCCCTGACTCACGCGCTTTGCGTTACTCTAACGTTTATTGAGTGAAGACGAAGTGCAGTGCTGTTAACACCGCACAGTTCTGAGGTCACTCAGCTGTTCCACACCACAGCTTACTCGTCTGTCGAATGGGATTCTCAAATGGGTTGTTTTAAGAGTTGAATAAGAAGGTATTTGTAAAGGTCTGGCACATGGTAGGAATCTAGCAAATGTTTGTCCCCGTCTTATACCTCCAGCTGATCACTGCCTCCACCAGACTAGCTCCAGAGCACTTTGCCAGTGCATCTGACTGCCTCTCGATGCTGCTTTTCTCACCTGACTGTGCAGTCTAATTACCCAGTGGCTGCACAGCAATCCAGAAACTCTGGGGATAGACTCCGGCATCAGTATTTTTTAAAAGTTGCCCCCATAAATTGTACCGTAAAGACAAAATCGAGACCATTTCTGTACAGAGTTTATTTTTAAGTTCTTTTTTTAAAATTATTATTTCATAGGCATTAACTACTTAAGACCGCCTTTGAGACTGGGATCGTTAAGGGCGAGACCATATTTCGCTAATAGGTATACTAGTAAGTTAGGCAGCAGAATATTCTAGTTTATGGCTAACTCTAGATTTCTTCCTTCCTTCACTGTCCACGACTATGGCCACTAGACACATGTGGCTCTTTAAATTTAAAATGACTAACATCAAGTTTAGAATTCACTTTCTCATTTACACTTGCCACATTCCAAGGGCTTGAAAGCCATGTGTGGCTAGTGGTGACCATACTGGACACCCTTCTGCTATAGAGTATTGCTGCCATCGCAGAACGTTCTGTGGGACAGGGTTTAGTAGGCATTTCAGTAGAGAAGCCAGTGGGAGTTTCTCAAAAAAACCCCCTTGTTCAGATAACCCAACAGAACGAAGCCCTTTCCCCTTGCCTCACCCCTAGCTTTATCGGATTCTTTGGACAAGATGTGGGGATGGAAAGGAACATAAACATCAGGGATCCTTTCAAACTGATTCCAGCCTTTAATCAGTTCTTGCCAGTTGGTTAAGCCAGGTGACAAACCCAATTCCCTTGTGCTGACAGCCATGATAATCAGGCACCTTCTTTGTTCATTATGCTATCTTTAACCCCAGCATTCTTATGCAGCCCCGCATTTAGTGATCGCTCACTGTGACGGCACACTAATGAAGAAATAAAACACACTCTCTGAGACTCATTCTTCTAGCCAAAGAGAGACTCTGCTCCACTGGTTTGTAAAATCAGGTTTTTGTTCACTTGGAGAACGATTAGACCAGGTGAATACAAGCAGCATTGGTTAATTTGGAAGGAAACCCCTAAGAAGTTCTTCATACCACCGACACTGCTTGAGAACTTTGAAGCTTTGAATGGTAAATAAACTTGATTTTTAGGAAGGCTTCTCTTGGAGCGTCTGGTTAAGGTTCACATAAGTGGCTGCTTGCGGATGAGGTATGACTTCCAGAAGAGCATCATGAATATTTTTAAGAAAACGATCCACACTTGTTAGAATGGAGAGTCAGAAAAGTGCTTCATAAGTATGAAGGGGTGTAGAAATCTTATGGGAGTCACTTGGGGGTTAGCAGAAGTTAGGTCTGGGGCTCTGCATTTCAGCCATGTTCCCAGATGCTGCTGATGCTGCTGGTCTGTAGATGGTCTTCAGGTGGTAAGGCCTTAGATCCTTCCCGATGGATGGCAGGAGACTGGAGGCCCTTTGTCTATGGCTATGGTTCAGTTCAATGGCAACTCTAGGACAATACTGCAAGGAGTGTGAACATTCTCCTTTGATGGAAATGGAATACTTCCTTTGTCTCCCAAAAGAAAACCCAACCTGGTTCAGAGTTACATAATCAAAAACCCTCACCATGGAGCTTTGTTTATTTGTTTGTATTTTCTTCTCAAGTCCCCACCAAGTTACTGCCCGAGACACATGTATCCTTCAAGAATGGTGCCGGCGGTTCTGTGATGCTGCCCAAGAGGCAGACGCCAAGACTTCTCTATACACAGGGATGCCATTTAAGCTGATGAAGGCATTTTGATGTCATGAATCATTTCTTAGAAAGAATTTGAATGTGATTTTTAGTAATGAAATCAACATCCTTTTGCTCTATGGAGACCCAGCCCCCCCCCCCCCCCCCCCCCCCCCCCCCCCCCCCCACCCTTCTGGGTAGTCAGGAATGTGGTTAGACAATCAGCAGTGTTGGGAGAATTCAGCCACATGCCTGTGCAGGAAGATTTGATTACCTTAGTTATTGAGTTGCTTGTTCGGTGATTATAGTGAGAAAGGTCTTCATTCCCCCCACCGGGAGACAGAACCGATACTAGAGTTAAGGGAACTTTCTAACCCCTTATTGTGCTTCAGAATGCACTAGAAAATTAAAAAAAAAAATGCCTTATAGAAGAAGTAAATTGGCTTTGTTTCTCTAGAGAGAAATAACAAATTTGTTATTTTGCCACCTTTCCTTCTGAGCACCAGGATAGTT